AGATAAGGCTCCAGGGAGACCCTACTGCAACCTTTCAGTACTTAAAGGGGGCCTATAAGAAAAGATGGGGACAATGATTTAGCAGGACCTGTTGCGACAGGACAAGGGATAATGGTTTCAAATTAAAAGAGTGTAGATTTAGACTAGATACAAGGAAGAAATTTTTTACAGTGAGAGTGGTGAAACACTGGGAACGTTGCCCAGAGAGGTGATAGATGCTCCATCCCTGGAAACGTTCAGGGCCAGGTTGCATGGGGCTCTGAGCAGACTGATCAGGTTAAAGATGTCTCTGCTCACTGCAGGGGGATTGGACTAGATGACCTTTCGAGGTCCCTTCCAGCCCAGACATCTCTTTAAGGTAAAGAGTCCACTGAAGCAGAAAGGGAACTTTACTTTTTGCAGGAGTCATCCAAAGAGACATGTGACTTAATTTTTTGAATCAAAGGAGCAGTCTGTTTCTGAATAGGGTTTAATGAAGAGGATGAGAATGGTCTTCTAAGCTTGTTGGGACTTTCACTAACACCTTTTGTGCTGTGTTGACTGTAGTGGAGTGAACATGAACAACAGACTGAGATGTCATACTAGAAAGACTTCATATATGCTAGGAAGATTTGTTCACTCTAGAAAAGACCCTTGTTGTCTTGTAAGCAACTTGAACTGAAGATATATTTACATTATTGAAGCAAATTAACTGTTTTCTAGGTCCACTAAGAAAGGTTGGAGGCGTTCAGTGTGTGCTGCTTGCACTGAGCAGTGCTGTATGTTTGCTAATTTGTTCCTGTATCTTCCAAAAGAGATTTATGACAAATGGTATTTGGAGGGGAGGGAAGATATCCTCCAGTAAGGTGGAAACATACTGCTGCCTGCAAGTGGCAAAGCTGAAGGACCAATACCAATAGCCTGCTGCTGCTTTGAGCTGCCCATTCCATGAAACAATTTTATTAAAGATAATGACAAATGCTTAAACAGCTCAGACACCTCTACCCAAATGTGGCATAAACCTTGGGCTAGCATAGCCTTGCAGCTGCTGGACCAAAGCTTTGAAGCTGGATGAGTGAATAAGGAGGATGTGTATCTCTGTAGTTGGGAAGATGTACTGCTGGTGGGACCACAGCTCTGCTCAGCTCCCAGGCTGTTAAACCTATTCTGAAGTGCATCAGCCCTCACAAGGGTTGGTCATCAGCAGATAAGAAGTATGTGAGATAATATTCTAACCCACATTCTTATATCACGTTCTAATTCTTCAGCTGCTTTCTACTTATGAATGTGGCTTATTTAACTTTTGCTCTGATGAGCAAACTGAACTGCCTCAAACTTTCTTTTAAAGAATTTTTCATAATCCAAGGTATTCTTACTAAGTATGACTTTGGCAATTTTAAGACTGAAATCTTAAAATACCCAAGGACTGTGTGTCAGTTCCCACGTAATAGTCCATTTCTCACCAAGATGTTTTTTGATAGTCGTTTACTGCTCCCACGCCTCGTTGGCATTTCACACTCTTGCATGACTCACTTTGAGAACCCATGCTATTCATTGGTTTAGAAGACTAAGAAAATTTCAATGTTTTAAATACTTTTGTTTCCTTTAAGTTTTTATGCTTAACTCTTAACTGGATTGTCCTTCAGCTTTTGATGGTGACAGAGGCAATTTAGAACCTAAAACTTTTTGAGTTTACCTGCTGCACACAGCAGAGACCTAGTTATACTTCTAGCTAACTTTTCCCTTACTAGAGAAAATGCTTGTTGAACTAAGTAGTGCATTTGTGCTTGGCTGTTCTCTAACATTGTCAGCTTAAATAATTTTTAACTTGCCTTTTTGCACATTGTGGACCAAGTTCTGAAGGCAATAGCACCGTGGGCTTCTAATGAGGCATTTTCTGACAACATAACAGCAGAAGTACAGTACAGCTTTGGCATTTCCTGCCACTGAAAATAAACCCAGGCTAAACATCAGCCTCCAATACAACTTCCATGTGGCCCAAGGATTACTGGGATTTGAGTGTAGGATTAACACTTTCAATCACTTGAATGCCATGAGCATGGGTGTTGTTTTGCATGTACACCTGGAACCATTCCTTTCTTTGGTGTATGGTTCAGAAACAGCTTAATTGCATTCCCCTTCTCACCTTGGTCTGATTTTAGGTATGTCATGTGGATTTTATATTAATATTCTGATATGACAGTCTAAACTGTTCTTATTTGTCTTTGTTTGTTACCTCGTTCTCCCTTTAAATGGGTCATGTTAAAATCTCTTCAGAATCCAGAAACTCAGAAACTTGTTTGAATTGCCCCTGTCTTGGCTTAGTGCACTGTTATTATGGGGAACAGCCCCTGCAGAAGAAGTGTACATACTGTAACTGGCCCACTGGGCTCTATTACTCCTGTAAAGCAAGGAGAAGTTGATGAGGAGGGAAACAGAGCTAGAAGAAGTGTTTTGAGCAGGTCTGGAACTTGAAGGAACAGGATTCACTGTGAACCTTCCTCAGCTGCTTACCTTTCAGTCTAAAACACATGGCAGGGAAGAAGTTTGTACTGGCAGGAAGCACCATGCAGGAACAGTAACATTGTTCTTTGACTCTGTATCTCAGCCATAATTTCAGTGATGTACTGTCATCTCAAATGCTCTATTACCTTTTGTGATTATAGGATTTTAACTTTTCATTTGGATTCTTTCATACTTCTAGCGTAAGGAAGCTTTTGAGTTGAATGTCATTTTCCCTGCTTTCAGTTCCTGACAATTCAGTGTTTAAGTCAATCTTATAATGAGGGAAAAAAAATCTTGTTTCATAGTCTGTGTGCAGTGGTTTTATATTTAACTTGTGGTTAAAACTGTGAGGCAGCCTAAGGCAGGCATAAAGATTTTATTTTAAAATCTGTTACATTACTAATAACTTAGATTCCAAGCGAGGCTATTCCAGTTTAAAACAATTGTAATTTTCTGAATGCATTTCTGTTGTGTGAAACATCCTTATATCACAGAATGATGGGGGTTGGAAAGGACCTCTGGAGATGATCTCATCCAGCCCTGCTGTGAAAGCAGCTTCACCCAGAGCAGGTTGCCCAGGATCCTGTCCAGTCGGGTTGGAATCTCTCCAGAGAAGGGAAACTCCACAGCCTCTCTGGGCAGCCTGCTCCAGGCTCCAGCACCCTCACAGGAAAGATTTTTTTCATGATGTTCAAGTGGAACCTCCTGTGTTCCAGGTTGTGCTCATTGTCACTTGTCCTGTTGCTGGGCACCATGGAAAAGTCTGACCCCATCCTCTTGACCGCCACCCTTTAGATATTCATCAGCATCAATCAGATCCCCTCTCAGTTTTCTCCTCTCCAGGCTACACAGGCCCAGGTCCCTCAGCCTTTCCTCATCTGAGAGATGTTCCAGTCCTCTCATCATCTTTGTAGCCTCTACTGGGCTCTCTCCAGTAATTTCTTGTCTCTCTTGAACTGGGGAGCCCAAAACTTGGACACAGCACTCCAGAGGTGGCTTTACTAGGACAGAGTAGAGGAGGAGGAGAACCTCGCTGAACCTGCTTTAATGGTTTAATATTGTTTTAATGTTGGGATATTAATTTGTTTAGTACTGTACAAAATTGTTAATATTGTTTTAATAATGTTTTAATATTGTTAGGAAATAATATTCCCTGTGGTCTCCAGGATGGTTTTGACTGAGTTATAAAACGAAATGGGGAATTCTTTTTTTCATTTCCATGCTATGGCTTTATACCTGTTCTGCAGTTTACATAAACGTGTTGTGTTGTGCAACAGTAATGCATTAATTTGGCCATGAAAAAAACAGTAATAGAAGGAAATGGCAAATGCAAGCTTAGAATGGCAGGATAGCATCAGGGTAAGAGTAATGCAAACAATGGCCTCCTTTCAAGATATTATATTCAACTATTTAGTGGCCTGTGAAACAACTGCTGGAAAAAAACGTACTACAAGTCAGAGGGTAATCAGATGATACATTCTTTGCAATTTCTTTCCAAGCTTTCTTTGTTATAGCAGTCCAAAATGCTGCATGTAGAGATTCACATGGAGGGAGATACTTTTTCAGGATTTAAGTATGTTGCCGTTCGTTTTTTTAAGAAGTGATCTGTACATGACATGTCATACAAAGCTTCATCAGGATTTTGGGTGGGGTTTGGTATAGCTATTAAAAAACTGTGGCTGACTACTTTGGTGAAGTTCGCAGTGAAAGGTGCAGCTCAAGTGCGTAGTTTTTGGGAAGTGGGAACTTAGCAGCCAGTTCTGCATCTTGTGTGAGAATAGCTGTGGCTCTTGCACAGTTTGAATGACAAAAAGCACTGAGGAGTACCAGAGGCTGGTTTAATAGGTGTTGGTGTAATTACAAGCATTTTTTTTTTCAGGTTAGGCAGTGCTGGACTGGATTTGGGCTTTATTCTTGCAAAAAAATGGAGAGACCTGATTATCGTCAGTTTATGGAGGGAAAGGCATTACCTCTTCCTAAATGATAGTTGGTAGTGCTGTACCCTGCAGCCCTCTCAAGCCAATACTGAGTTCTTTAGGAAGCTGGGTAAATAACCCTCTCTGATCAGGGCACCTTTCTTGATTCTTGAAATCAAAAAATTTCTGGAATGTAGTAGTACAAACACTTCCTCATGTGAATTAAATTCAGTAGGTAGTATGAGATGGGTGATTTTAACATGTCAAATAAGATGTGTATGTTAGGAATTAAGTGCTTCTCATAAAATAAATATTACATGATTTAAACTTAACCTCTTAATGCCTTGAACACAAAGTGGTTGGATAGGTTAGATACTCAAGCTGAAATAATGTCAAAAAAAACTTGTTCCCCTTCTCTTTTTCAGAGTGATCGAACAGCTTGGTGGGAAACAGCTGGTAATGAACCACATGCATCATGAAGACCAACAAGTTCGTTATAATGCATTACTGGCTGTGCAGAAGCTGATGGTTCACAACTGGTATGTGAAAATTATTTAACATTTTACTAACAGTAGGAAATACTGGGCAGGGGGAGAAGATCCAAGACTAGATTTCTTTAAGCAAGGAATAATGATTTTATGTGGCAAGACTGCAGAGAAATTATAGAGCAATATGATGCTGATGTGTGAGATCTCAATGACTTTCTGTGTATTTTGTTTGCAGTTGAATTGAGTAGCTTCACCAGACATGACTGAATATGACATGAGTAATTCATTCCAACAATATATTTTAACTTATTTGATGTGCTTAATATTCAATATGAGCTGTAATTCAGGCTTGCACTTGTTCAGGTACTTCATTGGGAGTTACTTTGCCAAGTGCAGAAGCATCTGACCATCTTTTTTTATTGTCCTTGCCCCCACTCTACACTGTTTTTTCTGTTGCCATTTTAAAGGGTTGCAAATACAACTGTTCTTGAGCTCCTGGAGTAACAGAAGTTCATGGACTGTTTAGTTAAATGAAGTTGAAAATCACTTACTGGTATCTCTTTCATCAGTTGCTGAGAATAGCATTTGAAATGAGTTTTTTCTTTCATTGTTTGTTGACTAATTCTCTTATAAACCTCCAAACCCCTGAAGTCCTGGTGTTTTCTGCCACAGAGCTTGCTGGTGGCTGGTGCTGCCTTTCCAGCAGAGCACAGGAGCTTTATACTGAAAACTTCAGTGTTCATGTAACAGCTTTGTGTAACTTGCCAAACTAATCCGGTATGCTAAGCATAAAGCATGGAGAGTAAAAAATACTAATTAGGAAGTCTTAATCTGATAATTAATAATGATTTCACCAAAGCTCATGTCTCTAATTTAGCACTGCCTTAGAGGAAGATAAAATCATAGAATCCTTTAGGTTGGAAGAGACCTTTAAGATCATCAAGTCCAACCATTAAGCCAGCACTACAAAGTCCTCTGCTAAAACAGAGCAGAATCTGTCAGGGTTGGAAGAGACCACAAGGGGCACCCAGTTCCAACCCCTCTGCCATGAGCAGGGACACCTCCCACTAGATCAGGCTGCCCAGAGCCTCCTCCAGCCTGGCCTTAAAGACCCCCAGGGATGGGGCGTCATCCACCTCCCTGGGCAACCCATTCCAGGGTCTCACCACTCTCATGGGGAAGAACATCTTCCTCACATCCAGCCTGAATCTGCCCACTTCCAGCTTTGCCCCATTCCCCCTAGTCCTGTTGTTACCCGATAGCCTAAAAAGTCCCTCCCCAGCTTTCTTGTAGGCCCTCCTAAGATACTGGAAGGCCACAATAAGGTCACCTCAGAGCCTTCTCTTCTCCAGACTGAACAGCCCCAACTCTCTGTCTGTCCTCATAGGAGAGCTGCTCCAGCCCTCGGATCATTCTGGTGGCCCTTTTCTGGACATGCTGTACATCTGTGTACATGCAACTGCACACCTGTGTACATTGGAACAGAGATGCTGAGATACAAACAACTAATTTAATTTTGAACTTAAGCAGCCTTTTATTTCTGAAAAACTTGATGCTTGGAAGGATCTATAATTTCTGTCAGTTTTCTCGCTTCTGATACAGGATGATCTTTTCAAAAGACTGAGTAGAGTGAAAGTGATAGGCGAACAAGTTTTATCAAGCACATTCTGATAGGTTCTTTAAGTCACCTACTTGCTGTAGAAGATAGGATAGCAAGGCTGACAGAAAGGTCCTGTCCCCTCACGCTGCAGTATATCTTCTGTAAAACAAAGCTACCTTACCCCATACTCCTTGGAAGAGAAAGGATTTTAAGTTTCATTCATTTTGTCCTGCTTTCTCCCTCATACTGTGGGAACTTTCTATAGCAGAGAAATATTTACACATTTTAATAACCTACCATAACAAATTTACAGTTAATATCCTCTACCTGCAAGAAGGACTTTGGCAAATAACATTGAATTTCAAAGTGTGTGGAAGTGGAAAATAAATGGGTGGTGATGTGCAACCTAATTTAGAGTCATTATTGTATATTACCCTGCTGGAAATTCTGGTGATGTTTCTTTTCTCACTATGCACTTTGGGTCTATTTGATATTTCTGAATATTATAAACCAGCTATAGCTAAATAGAGGTTACAACGTGGAAGGCTTAGTTACTGAATTTACCTTCTGTGGAGGACACACACCTTATTTCATGTATATTCTAATGTCTTGAAAATCTGGTAATAAAAATATAAAACTCTGGTCTTTCTCCAGCACAAACCTCACTGGTAATAAAAGTTCTCCTGGATCCCTAACCTGACTTTTTCTCATTTTCAGCTTAAGCATGCTACTTAAAAAACATTACATCTGGTCTTCTAGGCTTTTTGTTAATGGCATGAATATTTCTGTGTCTGTTTTTCACAGTTTGTGAACTTTTAGACTTGAGACCGAGAGATTGCTGCACAGCACAGTTTAAGTGCCTACTCACTCAGCTTTCCTTTGTCATAGGATGGATTACTCAGCACCTTCAAGGTTTTGCTTACCTTGCTCTTCAGAGCTGGGGGAACAATAAACATTTCCCCCTTGCTTTCTTGTGATTTGGAATTCCAGTTACTTCACTCAAAGCATTTTTTTTTCCTCCCTTTAATTGGTGTGAAACAGCTCTGCATTACTGTCTGTGACACATGCATGATGGTGGTAGTCAGGATCTTCCTAGCTGTGGAGACTAGCCCAGAGAAGGATTAGAAAATAAAAGTCCTGCTCTGCCAGGCTGGCAATTGGGGTGAGTGCTGCTCCTGGAGCAGCAGAGTGAGGAAAGCTGCTGGTATTTGAACTGAGGGAGGAGTGTCTGAGGACACCAAGGTGGTATTCTTAGGGGTTTTTAAGTCAGAGATTGTCAGGCACTCTTGTTAAATGATGAAGCTAGGTTGGCAAAAGGAGTAACTGCTGTCAGCTTTTCAGATGAGGCAAGTTCAGGAGAAATATTCCAGTGACGTTTATGGGTTAAATGATCATGTACTTGATGAAGCAGGAAACAAAGGTGTCTTTTTAGCATCACTTAATGTCTTTAAATAGTAATTTAACCTGTGTTTTAAACTGCTTTGAACTGACTGTTAGTTGCAGCACCCTGTGCTGATGGTAAAAACCTGCTGTTGTCAAATGGGGGCGTTAGCAAGGCAGTGATGGTGCAGTTTTTTGGTTTTTTGTTTTTTTTTTTTTTTTTTTTTGTTCCATTTGTGCTTTAACTGTTTATGAGAAACATCATCTCCTTATTCCTTGCCTTTGCTGGTGTTCAGAGACAATACCCAGGTTGAGCGTTTTAGTATAGTATTAGAAACTGGTTTTGGGCACCTAGTGCTGGTTAGGGCAACGTCTCTGATAATGCAGTTGTAAAGAATCATGAAGTTCTAAACTGGCAGCACTGACATATATCTCTTTAAAGAAAGCCAATATGTTAATCTCTCCAGGTGAAGCACGTGCCTTTCACGTGCTTCATGGCACATTTTACTGAACTTTGGGCATGATTCAAAGTACCTACAGCTAGAAGCCCAAGTTCCTGTTGTGAACAATGGAGAGAAGCAGGTTGTTTTTCGGGGCAGTACAGAGCAGCTTCAGTGCTTGAAGTTGAGCAGTGGGAATAATGTTCTGTCTTGAAGATCTGTGAACCTGTGGTCTCCGGGCTTCATTCTAAAAGAGTTAATTCCAACCCTTTATTACATCACTAAAATAAGAGCTAGAGCTAGGTGAATTCCAGATGTTCTACATGTAACGTGTGGTTTATGACCTTGCTGATCATCTAGAACTTGGTGCATTAGTTTTCACCACCTGATTGTGTCCTAGCTGGGTTAAGCCCAGAAAAATCAGAGAACACTCTCTGAGAGTAGTCTAGTGAGAGGTGGCTCTGCCCATGGCAGAGGGTTTGGAACTAGATGATCTTCAAGGTTGCTTCCAACCAAAACCGTTTTGTGATTCTAAGTTTGTGCACGACTCACATAGTAAGTGTAGCACATCACTCTTTCTTGCTCTGTCAGCAGCAATGCAGTTGGGTGACAGGGACCAGGGGTCAGAAAAAGAAGACAACTGTCACAATATCCAGACTAGCTGACATGTGCAGAGATAGATCATCTGTGATCTTTATTCGTACAAATGGGAAGTGAAATGCTAAAGTACCAGACTGTGTTGCTCCACCTTTGTGCTTGCACTGTAGCAATGAGCTGCTGTTAGGGAGGGATTGCATCTCTTGCCTCTTTGCTCAGGTGTGGTGCCTCAGCTCCCCAGGGTCCTTTCATCTGTGCAGACTCTGATCTAGAAATGTCCTTGAAGCAGGCAGATTCTAGAATTGCTATTCATTGAATTGCTACTGGCACGGGGAGTGTGAGAATCTTGGCGGAGGCTGAACAGAGGGGGTTAAGATGCTTCACTGATGCACAGCTGGATATGGTGTTGGAATCAAAATTAATAACAACATGCTGAATGAAGCAACTAACTCAGATAAGCTCTGAATATGCAATGAAATCATATATGATTTTGAGAGTGCACATCACTGGCAAAATTATTTGCTTAATTATTGCAAAATTATTATTTTTTTTTTTAAATGACTAGTTATGCAGAGAGACATTAAAAAAGAGCCTCAAACAGCCTAGGATTTGCAGTATACTATATTTATAAGCTGTTCTACAGAGGTAGCATTGAATATTCAGCATCTGTCACCATGCTTTTGTGGTAGAAACTTCGTTGTCCACAGCCCGTGTGTCTCCTAAGATAGCTTCTGTCCCATGCTTGCTTTTGGTAATGATGGTTAATTGGAAGCCATGACATTTGCCCCTTGCCTCTTCCCCCCTGCCCTTTTTTTTTTTTTTCCTCACCCCAGCACTGAGAAGTGTAATGCTTGCTAGAGTATGTTAAATCTAGGAAAAAATGCTGACATCATAATGCCATTTATCAGGTTGTAGAGATTTTTGCAGTATCTCCTCTATTGAGATCCAGGGCTGCATGTGTGGGTCAAGGAGGTACATGATGAAAATCACCATGGTTCCACTGAAAATAAGGTAATTTATAAAAACTTAAATTT